TGAGCTCATATTTGCGAATTGTTATATCCGACATGCTTTTACTGCGTAAAAACTTGCTCTTTTGTATTACTCCTCACAGCCATGGTTGTGCTAACTTTTAGCATGTCTGATATACATCAGTCGCGTTATTTTTGCATTTCAATTATTTGCCATGCAACTTTCTGCAGCCTGCAATTTGGAATCCGTACTTTATGACCTAAATCATTCTCAAAGTGCTACGAAAACTGGATGTTCAAAACGATAGACATTTAGGTGTACTTATTTTTGTCGATAAATATTTAGCTAATTTTTATTTTACAGTACTGCGCATGCAAAATAAAATTTGTGTTTAAAGAAGTGAAATTGTCTACTTTTGTTATGTCTAAGTTTCCTAAGGTATTGTCACAGCGATACTGCTTGAATCATTCGAATACTTTGTTGCGAGCATTTACTGCGGACCGGCTTTATCGTATTCTCACGATATAACAAGTAAACTATTCCGTATTATCATAAATCAAGGCGGTAAATGCCCCAATTTTCGCCTGCGAAGCCTGTATATTGAAATAATATTGTCATACATTTTACGTTTTACTAATAACAAAGGATCAGCTTTCTCATTCGCCAACACTAAGTCACTTCACTCATTAACGTGAGTTTACAATTTTAACTGTAAACCACTGAGAATAAATCAGCTGCTTCAGCCTGAAGTTGCGCTCACCTTAATCCAGACCTGTTCAAAGTACTCCAATGCATTACGTTGTAAGAGTTTAGTCTAACTTGTCCAGCCATATTTTGTATTTCATATTCCCCATCGGAACAATTACAACAAGGAGCTTCAGGTCTATCCTCTCACGCCAGACTCCGGAGCGCTTGTCTAAGCGAACTTAGGAAGTTCATTTAAACAATCTTTTGTACACTCCTTTTCTCCACTGCAACCACTATTACACTTGTTCTGATCTGTTGGCTGCTAAGTTGTCATATATGCTCTGAAGAAAACGCATAGCCTTCAGTTTCAGACATAAATGCATCACACGCCAATTGTTAAGCAATTTACCTTCTCCCCTTGCTCTCAGCGTAGCCAACGTACCATCATTCTAATCGGATATATTAACGCTATTCCCTGCGCCATCACACGCGAAATCTTTCTCCGTGACTCACGGTTCTAGCAACACCAGCCTATTTAAACTACTCTAGTGTTTAACCACACACAGAACTTTATCGGTCATAGCGTAGTCCTCAGTTGTCCAGCATTGTTCGATGTCAAAACCTCTGAACTTTCCAACATTTCCAAACTTATTTCATTACAATGCTCCTCAAGACGGTGGTAAGGATATTTGTGCTCTCTCATCCTGCCTGTTCATAACGCAGGCACTCCATTTTAGAGGCGGACTTCTGCCCAGTCAGATCATAGATAAATCAACCCACCAACCAAGGAAGCGCGCTTATTTACCTTACCTGGGAGTGAGGTCGGGTGATCGTGCACACACTGGACGCGCGATTCATCACATCATCCTCGTAAGCGATTGTACTTTCGAAGTTTGACTGCCTTACAACCTGCACGGGACCACAGGACTGCAATCTATCACGGAGTGTGGCCAACCCGAAAGATAACTGGGATATATGTATTGGGGTCATCTAGATGGGACTAATATATCTTGATTGCTCTAAAGCATTTCACTTTAAATGTTGGTGATGTATATTTACAACAGTACAGTAGTTAAACCGTGTTGTTTTTGTTCTGCCGGGTGTGCAAGTCCTTCTTGATTGTTGGTTGTTTGATCTTCCTAAAGCAAAATGTGCAATGCTGAATTAAGCAGTTGAACCACTGATGCAGGCCAGAGATAAAGCTGTGGAAGTAAATGCAGCTAAGGTTGCATATTAGTGGAACCTCTTAGTTCTCCATTTAAGCCAAAGTAGAAATACAATCGTTTTAGCGTCACCTCCTGGTCACAAACTCCAACGGTCCCAGTGCCAAAAAGTTCCCTAAGTAGACAGATCGCTGGCAACGTGCCTGCTTCTACTTCCTCCAGCCACGTAGCAACCAGCAATGCACTTGCCATAATTGCGTCCCGAAATTGCAGCCCATCCACAGTAGCATACGATGGAAATTATCCGCATCGGTTACTGCCAGGATTGGCCAGAAAAGACTCAATTGACTCAACTTAATTGACATGGCAAACTTGAGATTTCGCAGAGTGGATCGCCATCACCAGTGTTGCCAACAAATTCTTGGAAAGCAATAGGACCTAGTGCTCTGAATCCGATCACCTTTATGTGCAACCACGCTGTCACAGGTCTTGTGTAATAACTTCTTCGAGTCTCGGTCCATTACAAGAAATAAGGAACGGATATAGTTCCGTACTCAATTGGACTACAACCGTAATGCCATCGATGTGATTTCTGACGCCACTGCACAAAAATGTTTTGTGTGTCCCTCAAATTATTGTTAGCACAATGTGCAGAGACTATTGCATAATTTCCGGTGCATTGTATTACAACGGAATAAATAACTAAAAGTGGCAACCCTGACAAAAGCACCACCTCACCGCGCTCGATAATGCACACGGCGGGACGACGAAATACGTCGGAGTTATGCTGCACCTCCGCAACCCACACAAGCTGAACACCATAAAATGCAGAACAAAAGTCATTGACGTATACGGGACGATCCCATAATAGATTATCCAATCCTGAAATACCCAACCACACTTGCCCACTCTTCGTTGAAACTCATTCCGTCATCAGTTGGCTGCGCACTACAGCGGACTGCAATATGGACGAAACATTCTTCTTTGAGCGCCCTTCCGTTGCATCTAATTGTTACTGTCATTTTATCCCTATTATTAAAACGCCTTGACTATAACATGATAGATTTACAATATTAATATAGCCCATGACCAATAAATGATGGCATTGGTGAAGTGGACGTTGGTACAAACATTCTAAACTCCAGACAGAAATACTCACACATTTGCTAATGAAAATACTTTGTTAAGTTAGGTATCATACGCGTCCTTTTATTGACACTGTTTTTATGTTGTAATTTTCACCAAAACCAACCCACGGGACTTATCTTACATTTGTATTTATGCCTGTCACATGCCTTTGCTCCATCGCATGCTTACATTGCTTTCGATGATGCCCTTATCTGTTTGTCTACAATATTTTAGCACTAATTAGTAAAATTTATTGCTGGAGTAAATGTATGCCATTCTTGTGGAATTTATTTGTCACTAATATACTACTTTCAGGATTTTTCGTCTTCCTCTCCCCTGATCACCAGCTTAGTCTACTTTTAAGGAAGTGAAAATGCTATTACATTTATGCCATTGCATTCAACGGTGTGCCTCGATGTTTTCGTGGGTACACTTTTTATTATGTTTATGTCTTCAATTGAAACTGCTATTCAGTCAAATATAATCGCTTTTCACGAATGCGCCCTTACGTCAAACGGACGACGACCTATGCCAATTTCTTTAGAGTAAAACCCTCTCCGTAGGTCTTCCTCTGGAATACCTGCGAGACTTGATATTGTTGTGCACTGAGAGTGCAATTCCAGTTTGAAGGGACGGCATACAAACAGATCGACGGCGTCGCTAGGGCTAGTCTTTTGGGACCAGTTCAGGCAGAAAGCTTCTTAGGTATGGTTGAAAGGAAAGTCGCTGCCTGTATAGGTGTAGCCGAGCTTTACAAGCTTTATGTAGATGATATTCTCGTCTTCAAAAATGGCGAATATTTTGACCGTCTTCCTGTCCTACTGAAATCACAGCAGAGGGAACAAGAGGACAGACTGCTGTTTCTGGACTTGCTCATCCAGAGGAGGACCGATGAGACACTGCAGCGCACTGCGTACAGAAAATCGACCTAGAGGGGGGAAAAACCTACATTATTCCAGCTTAGCCCCAGTTGCATACAAGCGTGGCCTCGTAAAATTTTTCTATAGGGCCAGGCGCATTTACAGTCCAAAATTGCTCAAGGCTAAAGAAGAGAATTTACACCGGACACTGTTATCCAATGGGTACCCGGATAAATTCCTTCAGACCTATATCAGACTCCCCAAGTTGAAGCTGTCAGTACCAACTGAGGAGAAGAAGGATGTTTATTTGTTTTTACCGTTCAGGGGGATCATGTGGCAAATGCAGTTGATCACAAGCTCAGGCCCACTCTAATGCGCACCTACTCGACCGCCCAACTACGACTTATCCACACTACATGAAGGATTCATCTCCACAGCCGTCCGAGTAGCTCGCCAATCAATTCGGCCTCTAAGATCAAATATAATTGTTTTATAAACTTCTGTCATTAGTATGCAAGTGTGAATTATGTAAAAATGTTGCTTTGATTATCAACCTTAGCAATTTGCTAGTAAAAGTTTTGTGCTCAGTTCAGGTGATATTCACAATGCAAAACAGCTGGAATTTTATCTTATAGCTGGCATAATGCCATATGGTGGTTGAATACCACCACTATGTGCCTCATATTTTGCGTACATTAGACTAGAAAAATGAACGTCTGGTGTTACTCATAGGGCTTATTTTAAACACGCTGCACACATTAATGTGTGTAAAGCTTAAACAATTTCGTAAACATCTCTGTAGGCAGTGGCCTGTAACCACGTACGAAGGTGAACTTGTTGATTCACTAGCCGGTGAACATTACATTTGTATTCAGCAGCGGCCTAAATAGAGAACCGAGCATCGGTTGATGATTAACACATACAAGTTTGTCCTGTACCATTATTTGAAATGAGGCCTCTAACCCTCGTACAGAGTTAACTTCCCTAGTTCAGATGACAAACATTGTAACTCAACTTATCCAGTTCGACGACCAACTCCTCAGATGAATATTTCAATCGCACTGACCAACCTACACCACACTCTGAAATGCGGTCTACATTGAGATTGCGCGTCGCAATCCATTCACACAACGCGTACGTCAAAATAACCCTTTGATCAGTATTTCGCTAAATTATAAACATTTTCTAAACTTTAAAGTTAATGGAATAATCTCTGTTAGCTTACCGTATCCGTCGTATCGAGGAAACAGTTTACTGGGCTCTGTAATAAAAAGGAGTGCTGCGTTAACACAAGCTTTATCAACAAGAAAGTAATACTAATTTAGGTCTACACATCAACGCCTTTCTAATATACTGCAATGCACTCGTAGACCACAACACGCGGATCATGTCAGAAAGATTGGTCTAGCTTGCTGAGACGCAGGTCCAACAGTATGGCGTATATGAACGATTCCAACAGCTTAGAGTCCCTCCTGAACACAACTTAAGTAACAAATCGAATTCGAACTTGAGGCATTATGTACTCGGACAAACGCAATATTTGCGCCTAAGTTTGCAGCATACAACGAGGCACTGCATTACGTGTTTGCTGTGGCTCGGACTATTTAATCGCTACTGATCTAGACTGGAAGAAGTTAACTCAAGTTTTGTGAAGATTCGTCGCAGATACATTAAGACAGACAGCCACTGCACATCCAGGAAAGCACTATACGGCCGTTTCGTCGTATTGGGACTGATGAGTGGCGCGCACCATCCGAATCCAGCTGCATTCTGTAATTGCTGCAGTTGTATTTCATTTTATAATTTGTTAGCCAGGGGCTACAAAAAGCAATCAAATAGTGCCTTTCCAAAATATTAACCAATGGATTGATTGGTTTATACTTTTAATACGCGAACACCACCGCTATTCTGCATAAGTCTATGGTGAGCTCACCGAAATACTTTTCACTTTATCATGAAATTTTGTTTTCGAAATAATTTCCGTCCCACGAGACTTGTCAATCATTGCTTTTTACCCGTAATACATGATAGTTCGATTACTCCATCGCGATTTGATATGCGTTGAAAACACGAATGGATTTGTAGTAACGGATTACGGAGACATTGCTCGATCAAACTCTACTTCCGTACTTGTTCTAATGAGGTCGCCACTCGCATCTTCTCCTCAAACATACGGTGAGTACTAGAGTACGGCTCATCTGTTTAATTCCCAACCACCCGAGGCGAGGCACGGATGAGCAAATGGGTCTGACACGTTGCTACTTGAGCCATTCCAAGTTTACGCGAATGGTTGTATAAAGATTGAGCGAGAAACTTAATTTATACATCTTGCCCTATTGTCTGGTGCAAATGCATGTCATCATGAGTTACCCAACCTTATCTTTGTGTCTGCCTCGTATTGAGGGCGCTGCTGAAGTTTTGAACGACATGTAACACACGCGGTCAGCGGTGCGAGCTTGTGGTCGGGCATATAAAACCTATCCCGTCCTCTCTGTGCTTTGGACGGAGAGTGGTAAATATTTGGAAATGTCTGCCGGAACAAGTCATCGAGGCCATATCTGTGCAGTAGTTTAAAACGTTGTTGATTTTACATTCCATCACCATTCGAGTCAGGGAAGGAGTACACACCAGCATATTGCATTTGTGAACCCAGTGAATGTCTTAAGGTTAAAACTGTATATAAATACTTGAAGTAAGATTAGATTAGCAATGATTTCAGACAACTTTATGATTTTTTGACAATCATGCGATAGAGTTTTACAGATTAATTTGTTACTCGCTCTATAGACAGCTTTCAGTGTTCATTGCGCATGAGCTGAAGATGAGAAACACACTTCAGCTAACTGTGCCGCAAGCCAAAATATAGGATATTTGAGAACAGTTGAGATAAGAAAGGATAGATTTAGTGAATGGCAATTGGTGCCAAAATACCCAAACTAGGTGTGATTCAATTTTCGGGTTTTAGTGCACCTACCGTGTGTTTTGGATTGTGACACGCAATCACAATCGTGGCCTCGGTTGAATTTGAATTCAGCCTCTGCCAATGCGGTCACTGGGACCTTTATCGAAGTGGAGGGTTTGGTTATGGCTCTCTCCTAACCCTTCTCTCTAGGTGTTATTCTTTCAAGCGGAAGCTACCCGAACGACAGCTGATCAAGATAAAGCTAAAGTATTGACCAACTGTTTGTGCACACACTGTGGGGGACTGTTGAGACGAATCGCGATCGCCTCCTCCAATGCAAGGATTTGCCATTTGTTACGTTCGTAATGAACAGACCTCACATGGTAGATCGGGCGAATGGCTTTACTGATAACGACGGGATAACTTGTCTGGACTATGTGCGCAACTATCACGGTGATGCAGGTTTTGTTCACTCATCGGCTTAGCCACGCTGGTTGATAGTCGCGAACGGGTTCATTCAAACTTCACTTGGTGCGGTCTATGTAACTTATCCTACAGGAACGGGTAAATTGCTACACACGGATGGATGTGCCATCCACGGACAGTTTATCCTCCAGTTGGAAGTGTAGCAGGGGCGTGGAAAGGAAGATACTGCGAAACTGTACGGCCCCCTAGGTGCTACTGACTGCCGCTGGTCAACTTTTGCTAAGGCTCTCGATACTGTTGTCTTCTTTGAACGGCAACGATAAGTAGACAGGCTTCTTTCGCACTGTGGATGTTTGGTGACCAGAAAATATATTCCAAAACGCATATCAATGAAGACTTTTGGATAGCCGTTGTTAAGGCACAGGTTTCTTATTATGACTTGCTCTACTTCTATTGTGTCCTCACAGCACATTTTCATCGCTCTTCCTACAAGAGACCGGGATAGGTTGTGTTTTTGCCGAACTGGTATGGAGCTAATTAAGTGCATAAATTAACCCGGCCACCAAGCTTTTCTTGTGGATTTTATTCCGCAATGAAACATCTGGATTACCTGACATTTGAATATTCAGGAAAGCTACGCCGTCAATGCTAATACTACTACTAATAATAATACGCAGATTTCTCCTGATACGAGAAACTGTGCCTATAGCGGCACAGATCATTTTGTACAGAAGTATCCATGTTCGTGCATAGGTGATATGCATAGATGGAATACAGGGCTATGTGTTTCATGTAGTAAGGTTTTAGTGGATGGATGAGGCAAAAGTCTAGTATTGAAAACATTGGTGCTTAGATGTTTTTGCTTCCCTCGTAAAATATGGTATTTAGAACATGGTAAGTGGAGAGTCCGATTCTAAAGGTTGTCACATCGTCACATAACCTGAGAGTTATTGGTAGTTTATTCCACAGATAACTGTATCTGAACAGGAAGAAATTAGAGCGAATGTCTCATCTAGCCTTCGGGATATTCAGTGTAAAATCCTTTTTGCGGAGCGCTCGAGTTGAACAATATTGTAATTGGAATGTAAGTTGTCCGGGGGTTCTTTTTTGTTTAGCACGTTTAAAAGTAGCGACAAGTAGTGCTTCAGTCGTCGAATCCAAAGTGGTTCGAGTTTCAATGTTTTTGATAACTCAAGACAGACTGCTTAGCAATCTGGTGTTTAGTAAACGACCTCCGTAGGTGCTCCACAGCAATTCTGTCACTCTTTCTCAAATTGCCGTTTATTATGCTGCAGTATTCGAGGATGGGGCGGGTAAGTAGCTTAAACAACTCAACTCTAGCATGAGTTGTGGGATTTCGTTTGACACACTGAACCTAGATTCTCTAGCACGTGCTACTTGATATCGGGCCTGTTCGGAGAAATTGAAGATAAGCGAGTATCTAATTTCCAGATCATGTGTGCACAGCGGTGTAGAGACACGTTCATTGTTTAGGATGATGGATCCTTCGGAGATGCAGCAGCCGTAAGACAAGATGCTTGAGTTTTTTAGTCGTGAGATTCATCACCCATGTTCGGCACTATTACTCAAAGGGAATGTAAGTCAGGTTGAATGAGCAGTAGCGTCCCATGAAACTCAGATTGTATGCAAAAGGAAATGTTCCTGGGTGCCCGATTGCATTTGGTAATAATTCAACTGGGTCTTCGGAGCTGTCAGCTATACACATCACGTTATCCAGCTAGCCTTTAAAGAGTGGCAGCTGCTAGAATTGTCCACTCAACGGATTCTTCGCTAATTTGCTCATAAACATATCGACGAATAACCGACTCAATGGTGGCCCCATAAGTAGCCCGTGTTTTCTCGGTACAACTGTCCGGGGAAGGGAACTTGGATGTCGGGGGTATCCTGATAAAGCAACCTCTTCCGTTCTTCAACTGGTATGCCAAGTTGCTTGCCTTTGCGCTCGATGTACTCAGTAAGGTAATCGATGGGCTCTTTATCGTGCATATTAATACAAATTGACATCAGGTTAAGCGAAAATAATTGTTTGGTTGTCTCTATTTTGTCTTCTAATGCTTTCGAAGAACTTGGACGGGTCAGTTAAACTATGAGTCTCCAGCTTCCTTCTTGTTGGTTTTAGCAGTTTGGCCAAACAATTTATCAACGCAAGGTACGGAGTGTAAGTTATATATAGTACTGTTCGTAAAGGGGCTCCACTTTCTACATTTTGGGTAATCCATACAATCTGGGAATAATGGTGCAGACAGGACGAATTATTTCAAATGTCACCTAATCGATTAGCCAGTTTTGTTTCATTTGGATGAGGGTTTTACTTATGGACCTTTCAATCGTTAGGTTTTGTTCTGTCCATTAAACCTTTTCTCCAACTTAGAGGGATCCTCAATATTACGCTCATATTATGACGGTATTCAGTGTTGTAAACGATAACAATACCCTAGTTTTTGTCTGGTCGCGACAGTATTATCTTATTCTTCCTCAGCGCTTTGAGCTTGTCTATAGAAGCAAGCAATAAAATGCAAAAGGTGATATTATTCACACAGTGAGAGGTCGTTGTTCGAAAGGTTATGCGGGATGGAGAGAGACAAAGTAACTCACAACACAAGCGCCTCGAGTGGAATAAAGCGCCGCTCTGCGATTGCTCGTGAGTTGACAATACAAGAAAATGGTCTACTGTTGCATGATGATGAAAATGAAGAATTGGGGGTGAAAAACACGGAGATAAAAGTGAATTTGGCCCTGCACGATAAGGATGAAAATCGCAAGAAGAGGAATAAGAAGACTGGAAGAAGTGAATATTAGCATCCACACCTTTCTCCACACTGCTTGATGCTGCAGACAGGACACCTTCGATTATCCTCTGCAGTGGCCAGAGCATCAAAGGGTTTTGAAGAGCTAATAATTGCATTACGTGGACAATATAATGGCAGGTTCTTCAGGCCTACATAGGAGAACTAATAAGGTTCTCCATTGAAATTCATGCTTTAAAAACTTGACCGCAATGCAGTATGGCTTTGGAACTGGGCTACAGTGGGTCCCCGTTTTAATGTGTAAGGAGGCACTTTCCCTTCAAGGTGCAACCTGGAGATCCAGGAGTCGGAGTTGGTCTGGCCTGTAACCACTGACCTATCTTGTATGATTGGCTGTGAGTTTGCTCGAAGTACCATCCAGCGTAGCTCAATGAATTTTTGAGGCACGCATACCATCGTAGCACGATCAGGTCTACAATTGTCCTGATGGGGAGTCCTGAGCACCATTTTTCATATCTTAAGCGCAAAGATTAGTATAAACTTGTCATAGTTGGTCTTGTAAGGTTACCCGGTCAGCTGTGGTTATCTCCTCAAATTTTACAAAGCATACAGTGACGAGATAAGAGCGCAAAATCTTTGTACTTTTACAGATATGGTGTACTTAGACTAAGATCCTGAAAAACTTATCAGAAAAGCTTCTGTTAATAGTTCTGAATGTCAGCCAAATGATATATCGACACCACAAGGCCTCATCATTTACTTGGCAGAATCTGGTTTTAGTACCTCTGTTTTATTCTAACCTTCGCTTGCATGTCATGTTATTACGCTGAATCCAATGCAAACTCCCCTTTATTTCACAAAAAGCTCATATCGTTTACTTAATTTTCTTAATCAAGCAACTGACACTGTAGGAATTACTATTTTAGAATACATGGGTTGTAGGTGAGAGGTAAGGCATTCCGTTGTTTATTCACCAAGCTAATGGTGCAACGAAGAAAATAATTATTCCATTATCTATCCAAGAAAAAGTTCAATTTATCTTCAGTTGGCTTAGCGTCAATTGCGATTGCATTTGAGCCTTAGGCTGAGTTGACTCATGCAAGTGCGGGGGTAATGCGCAGTTACTACTTACAGTTATTTATTTGTTCCTTACAATATTTGCACAGTAAACTACGTTGTTACTTGCTTGTAATCAATAATTGTTTCAAAGGGGTGTTGCAAAAAGATACTACAGCTTTACAGCTTAGTGTTGAATGACTCACCGTGGAATGATATTTTGGGCCTTATTTGAATTGGATATAGACATTGACCATCCAATGGTTTGAACGTCGTCGCCATTTGCATGTACATACTTGAATTGAGGACGTCGGGTACTGACCCCTTCTTGTAGATGAGTTCCAGCTTTACAACTGATCGATTTTGTTCCACAAGACTTTTCTCCTCACCCGCTTTTCTGCACAGCAATTTAGCCGAGACAATTGTTTGCAACTGAAACATTTACAGTATATGATTATGTTGGGACTAAGATAAATTAAGAAACAGCAATCGCGCGTTATAACAAACTGTTCCAGTTAAGCGTTACGTGCTACCTGTTGCTTTAACGTTTCGCTAATGAACTGCTATTCAAGACCTGCTTAAATATTTGCTGTGGTCTGGCTGAACATGTAAGTAAACGCTGGATAAGAAGAATGTCTCCATCAGTTTGGTAGCAATTACTGAGCTGGTGAAATCAACCTAAACAAACACAGGCATTGACGATCATTGACGTTAGCATATGTCTACGTTATTTGAAACAACACTGGGCTTATGAATTACCGCATTTCTATTGGGATGCACGTATCACGCAACAGGCTGGGACGTGTTCTTTGTTGTGGAGTTCTACGCAGCCAACGCTGGTCATCTTTGCTGGTTGCAAACTGCACACCAACCACGCAACTCGACTCGATCTGTCGACCCACTGATGACCGTAGAAAAAACCGACATGGAAATTTGTGCAATTGCCTTGAATGATGCTGCAATTTCTGCAGTATTATGCCTGCTGCAAATTTCTCATTGCAATAATCCAATGTGCAGCAGCCTGCAGAATTCACCGGTTTATCTGAGGGAAAAATCTCTCAATGAGATATTTCTAGAAAGGACCAAAAATTCCGAGAACGAATGTTTCCAAAACCAGACTTTTGCTTTAAGCATCCACCAGAAAGTAACTACATGGAAGGTGTAAATTCCAAAAGGAACTTTGAGGTATCCCCAGGCTGGATTGCTTACATGATGACACAGTACCTCTATCCCCTAATTATTCTGCTCATTTTACACCGATTTACTATGTCCTACCAGATTTTACCATATGTTATGTTGATTTCTTTTATTCAATCATTTATATATCCTTGACGTTTCAAGGGCACTCATTTTATCATGATACCTTGACACTGTCCAAAAACTCGCACTCCGCCGCACGCTGTACAGTTGCTGCCCCTCTGCACTACAATTGCAAAACCTGTTCGTAATTCATGTACTGTATTTAATATGCCTTATAGAACAGCGGTTACAGGATTCTTTGTTTTATTCTTTTGCCCAGACCGTGCATTAAGTCTAGGTTTATTTGTTTGCAGTTTCTAGTTAACTTTTCGTACGGCGTACTTACTTTAGACTTCGTATCGTTGGTACCGAAAGCATGCCCCAATATTTTACCTATGCATATCTCCCAATCAACAGCGTGGATGTTTTTGTGCAATTGGAGCTGTGCCATTACAGAGAGTTTCACGCATTGGCAAAAATCGCCGTATTATTTTTATTATTCTAAATAATAGTACCAAGTAATTGTACATGAAAGTGATCGGTACGTTTGTTTAGTGCGATGTCTTTAATAGAACATGATCCTTGCTATGGTGCTCGGTTTTTTACCATTTAGGATGCCATTGTTTGTTGCACTTTCTTGTCCTTCTAGTCAGAACATCTATTCGTGTCATTTGCATTGTGAGATCGATATGGAACTACTTATGGCACGGAGTAAAAGCATCCAGATATTCGATCTGTTTTCTGGAAGCTTTAACCAGGCCTTTGTTAAGGTACGATATATAGAACTGTGATAATTCACGTTCCAAGTTAGAACATTTTGATTTCAACTTTCATTTGTAGTTGTCTAATTATGGGTTTAATCTCGTTATGCTTTCTATCCCATCATGCATATCTAAGCCGTTTAAGGTCCTGGGCTGCGTAAGAACGACAGGGCCAAATTTTTTATATTTCCATGTTGAGTATGTTCTACCATAGATTTTCCACCGTCACTCAGTTTTGCTTTACGCTAGTTCTTTTGTACCCGGTTTTGTTATGGATTCAGTAGAGCGTAAGATATTGCCACCAATTGCTATCTCGCTATCCCAACTTTTCGATTCATAGATCTCTTTTGCATTATTCTTCGTTGGGTGTTTAATTTTTGTAAACAAAAAGAGACTTCGGACTAAACTAGGTGTACCAAAGACATGGTAAAACAAGTTCTTGACGTATTCATTTCTTAGACAGAAAACTGCCTTGAGGCATTCAAGCAAGATATGATAAAGTGCACTATGTCCGCTGAAAATATTCTGTTTGGGCAACTTTCAGTAATCTGCAGATACCAGTGATGGTATAGTTTCTTAGTTCATACACCATTGGTGAGCCTCCACCTCGCGAAATATAGCTAGACTCTACTGGAATACTCACAAACGGTTCTCGCAGTGCTGAGCTCCATAGTGCTCACCGACCCAGAAATTCCGGCAGATCGATCCATGAAACGTTTCGGACCATAAGTCAACGTCAGCAAAGTCAATACTCTGGTGTAACAGGGAATATCTATGTTACCTTAAAATCAACGATAGAAGCCATACAAGCACATGTTGCAACACCTAGTCGCGAGATTCAACCACAAGCTGAAATACAGTCGTAGCCATTCAAAATCATCGAGGCGCCCAAAATTCATCGAAACCAGGATGTTTGTCGGAATCACCCATATTTCGTTGACACAGGCCGTAAATGCGTCAAGTCATGCAACTTAGACGAGAAGCAGGAAAGCTATTTGGCCTTCCGTTGATGGTGCCGAACGCAATCGTCTTAAAACAAAGTCGTTTCATCCGTGTCAGGGATTTACTTTCGGTCCCGAGTTTCTATATTACACCGTAACCGAAGTCAGCGCTTGAACCCGAGTCTCAAATGAGATATTGTCGCCACTGTTGAACATATCATCTGCCACCAACCGTAAACCGGCTGAAGTGTTCGGCTATAAGATGCTAGAGTTCAACCCGAACGTCCAGCGATTCTTTAGGCGGGATTTCACGATAACAGCCGTTTTTCGCAATCACAGGCATCTCTTTACATTAACATTAAGATCACCCCGTTGACCTTACGATGCAGAATCAAATCAACTCTCGGATACAACTCGGGTTTATTGGTACCATCTGCAAGATGGTCAAGATGACTCTCATCCGTATTGTGCATCACGCTTCACAAGTTGATAAAATATCGCTTCAACCAGCATCCAAAACTTGCTCGCATTCATAAGGGCTTACTCGCGACGGCTGATATCGTGCTTTATATCTGCGCTTAGGAAAAGCATTTTTCAGTTTGTCTCCGTAGACTAGTCTCGGGAAAATTCAAAGTGACTAAGGCAAAATTCCATCAAATTCACGAACGTTTAATTATCCACCTGTCTGTGAGCCCCCAAAACATCGCTATTGCACCTGCTGCTAAAAAATCCGGCACATGACGTCATTGCAATGGCTTCAGGGTATGCAACAAAGTCTCCGCCTCGGATAAATACCCAATCCTTCACTTACATGAATTGTTCTCATACCCGGCCAACAAGTCAGGTTTTAGCAAAAAAAGACCTAGTGCACGCTTTCCACCTGTGACGACATTCGGCGTTAATTAAACAAATATTGTTCGTGTTGGGTACCTCAGAATGCTTAGAAATGCTGCTCAACATTTTTAGCATTCCATTCATGAGATGACATATAAGTTTGAAGCTGTTCCTTTCTATTTAGGTGGCATGCACAGCATCAACTTTTCTGACGATTAGCGACTGCAGTACCCTGCTACACGTTTTGTACGACCACTGCAGCTTGGTTTAACATCAACTCTGACATAGTTGAACTTGCCCAACCTATTACCGACTTTTGTGGTTACAAGTTATCCTCTACCAGACAAATTCAGGCATTGAATGCACACGTAATTCCAGTCTCATTTAAACAGCTTCACCAAATCGGTGACCCAAGTGCATGAACATAGTGTAAACCAATGATGGATTTAGCAGACGACAAGCGACAGATTCCACTCGTTGCTGATTACGCTCAACTGTCTTGTAAGAAGCTCAAAGAAACCATCTCAGACATATTGCTTCTCATCCACTCAGACTTAGTTACATCGCCGTCGCTGATGACTGATATACAAAACACAGCCAATGGGTGCGGTTCTCCAACAGATTGTTGACGGGCGACGAATACACCTCGGTTTCTATTTAAAAACTGCGCAGGCTGTCGAATCGCGTTACAACTCTTTCTATAAGGAGTTGATAGTCAGCCGTAAATTAAGAGATTTTGATCGCAACCTCAACCATTAATATTTTAGCGTATTTACTTATCACAAACCATTCAGTGCCAGAAGACACAATTGTTCTCCTCGAGGAACTTGACACCGACTACTAGTCTTAGTTCAAGGCAAGTTTACGACATGTACCATGTGATGTCACGGATGCTCTTTCATGAATCCATATTATCAGCATAGCTGTTAAACCCAACGTCAATCTGGACGCTATGGTTACTGTCTAACAAACAGATCACGATAGTGACAAACTTCGACGCAACACATTGAATAAGGCGTCTCAGCCGAGAAGTTTTCCTTCTTCTCGGCAAATTTGGAAGGCATGGCACATTTATGAGCTGCGGTACAAAAACGTTGATGGTACCAACAGCATGCCTGCCTGTTGTCGTACATGGAACGTTTGAACGGCGATTTTGAGCGGCTATGACGACAACGGTCCATAGTAAGCTGTTGAACCTGTCGTCAACGTATCGCAACTTGTGTTTGCAGAGCTGATATATTTGACTGTAAACGAGTAATATTAGTGCCCTGGGACGCGATGGCATTGACCTTGCCGGCATCGCCTTGTGGCTCTGATCGTTCAATGATTCAATCCGCTAAATCTGCTAACTGAGTGAGCGAAACGGAGCTCAATGTCGCGAGAATCGCTTACTTGTTTTCTGGTGGCCGCTGTAGTCATGGTTCGCGAAGCAAATTCTCGTCTATGCTTGAGGAACCAATGAGTTGCTACATCTCTCGTAGCGGGGTTGGGGGCAGGTTTTTGCCCAGCTGCAGATCCCTGAATATCTGCTGCAGGCGAACTTCCTCAGAGGGCATCACACACTTAATAGTGGCCTCCTTGAGAGCGTCATAGCGGTTTTCGGTCTGAGAAATGATAATGGCACGAACATGCATCGATACCTCCTTTGAGAGATAGG